GGGAGCAGCAGCACGGAGTGACTTTATAATGCTGCCCTACCTCCTGGTCCTGTCACTATGTACATTTTCAAATGTTACGGAGCAAATAGTGTACTATCATTCTTTCTTTTTTTTAACTACTTAAAAAATTGAAGTATGGTTAATTTACAATGTGGTGTTAGTTTCAGGCATACAGCAGAGTGATTCAGTTGCATATGTGTGTGTGTGTATTCTCTTTCAGCCTCTTTTCCATTATATTATTACAAGATATTGAATATAGTTCCCTGTGCTGTACAGAAGGTCCTTGTTGTTTATCTATCTTGTATATATAATATCTTATATATATAATAGTAGTATGTATATGTTAATCCTGAACTCCTAATTTATCCCTCCCCCCAACACTATCATTCTTGAAGACAAACCCCTTAGTTCTCTCAAGACTATTAGCAGATTTCAAGATAGAGGTAAAGTGTCAACCTCTGGGGAAATTTGAACGAACAGTTTTACTTTGTAAGAGTGAGACACATAGAATAAAATGTAGAAATTGTATTTCTCAGGGAATCTCCTGACCCTGTCTAGTTCCCTTTGAAAATGTTCTTGAATCAGAAACATCTTGCATTGGTACGTGCTCATTTTGATAATTTTTTGCTCTAATCAGAAAGAGTAAATTTATAGTCATTTTCGTGTATTGAGGAGGGAGGAAGCCTTCACCCTGTCGGTATATTAGAATGAGGGAGAGAGAAAAGGAAGGGGTAGGAAGAAGGTGAGGAGAGAGATTTATTAATCTTCCATAGAAACACAGCAAAGTTTGGGACGAATAGCTGAAGACTGAATAGATTCATACTCGATAGAGGGAAAAGTGTATCCCCTCACCCTCAATGTGTGTTGGTGCCCAGTTCTCATCTGTTTCATACGCGGAGAAAGGTGTGGTGAAACGTTATCCTAGGAAGAAGCATCTACCGAGATTGTGGTGACTTCTACAAGATTTCTTATTTTTCGTGTTAATATGAGGTGACTCATTGCTCTCAAGGCAGAAGGCATTATCTTAAGGCAACATACTCTAAACACATTATCTGACTGAGGAAAATCTAGGAAATCTAAATTCCATATGTTTTCCTGCTATTTTCTAAATCTGAAAAGATAGTACTTACAGTATAAAGGGGAAACTATATTTGAACTTAATGCATTGTGTTATAGTCATCCGGCCATACTCAGTTAGTACTTTAATCAAAAGTAGTCCACTAGAATGTTCTAGAAAGTATTCAAACACTTTAGGTCCCGATGATCTTTTTTGCTTTTAAATTCCCTTCAAGAAAATCATAAAAATCCCCCTAGTCACTGATAGATTCCCTGCTTGTTCGTGGTGGAAACAGAGGTGGCAGAAGAGTCTATGTTTGAACTTGACCTTGAGGCTTAGCTTTTACCTTATTCCAACCTCAGATTTTCTCTTTGATCCCAACATCTTTTCCTCAGAAGTGGTTTGTGTTAGACCGAGAGCGTGGATGAAGGGTCTCGGCATACACTCTCGCTGTCCACTGCGCTCCCTGTGGCTGTGGATTTTGTGGTCTAGATTTCATGAACAGCTCAGTCAGAATGGTGAGGAGAGAGGAGAGGGGGACCCAGCAAAGGGGGATACAGTGAACCCCTCCCGAAGACCTTGGGGTTTTCCCTGGTGATGAATGGTAAGGAAAGCAAGGACAGTGAAGCCCAGCAGGAAGGAAGAAATTCGATTTCACCGTTTCATCCCCAGAGAGGTATTTTACCCCCCCTTTCTCTGCTTCCTCTCTTACCAGAGATGCTAACAAGTAGCAGAAAGTGAGTGGCGTTAACGCTGGCTGCTTTCACAGCAGTTCACCTGGGAACACCATAGCCGTGTAGCCCTGCCACTTCTCCCGTGCCCACCACCGGGGAACGGCCTGATACAATACAAATAAAAATGGAAAGAAATCCTGGGACTTCGAAAAGCTCTCCAAATGGGGGGATTCAGAGCCACTGATTCCAATTACTAGGATAATCCAGTAACGGAAAGCTGGAGTCATGTCTTCATCCCGCTGTCTCCTCAGCCCAGGGGTCCTGTGTGGGCTGCTCTCATCATTTGATCTGCACGGAATCCAGCACTTTGCACAAAAAGATTTAAAATGTATGTTAAATGTGAAGCTGAACTAGTGGCAGAAGTGATCATTTTGAGCCCATTCCTGGAGCATGTTTTTGTTTCTGGGATGGGACAGGTGTTGAACAGAGTGTGAAATTTTGTAAGCGGTTTCATGACATTTTTTTCAGACCTATGTATATAAATCATTAAAAATGACAGAATAGATGTTTTAAAAAGAACGTAAATACAAAACCTACTCCCACAATTTGTTCATGTGTGGATAGGATTTTTATTTATGGCAAATGGCATTTACATTCTGAAAATTTTTATCCATTTGCTTGAGCAGATCAGCCTAGCAGGTGCCCTGGAACCATTTCTTTTTTACCACAGATAACCACGATGTGACCACGGGAGAGTGTCCATCTCTCGTTATATTAATAGTGACTTTCTTCTGAAATAGCCACTGACTTGATTAAATGTGAGCCTGTCAGGTCTGTTTGGGGTGATGATCCAAATATGAGAACAAAAATGACAGCATCCTGTAGCAGAATGTGGAGGACCTCAGTCCGCCCACCCAGCCTCCTGTCCGGTCATGAGAACTGCTTTCTGAGTAAGAACCTCTGGTGGTGAGATTTCT